GCTTCAAGGCAGTCTTTTGAGGGCAGCCAACTCACACAAAATAGCAATAAATTCCATTCGTTAAAGGATTTTTATAATTATACAAAGTAAACCAATGAATCTTCTTAATAGATTCCTGATGTCACCTCTGAAACTACAATCACCATCCGTTTATATGAAGTCACCAGACAAGACTTACTTGGCCCCATGCTTTTAACCTCGTTATTCTGTAATTGTTTTATCCCACAAACATTTATAGTCCCAAACATATGGCAGGCACAATCTGGAATGGGATGCTTGTGACACAGTGGAATTAACTCCCTTCCCCAGCCTTGAACACTATGCAGACCAACCAGACAGAGAGATAAACCAAGCAGTGAAGATAGGTCAAACAAAAAAAGGAAGAAAGTATGGCAGCACACCTATTCCAGAAACTGCAGCTATTTCTGTCTCAAAAGATTGCAGTTTGCAGGATGCATTCGGAGAACAGTGGAAGAGGAAGTAACAGCAATCGATGCTAGGTTTGACCAATGCTGGAGAGCTGGAAAGGATTTAGCAAGAAGCACAGGACCCTAGCAGAAATGTGCAGATGGTGGGCAGGAATGGCTAAAACATGGAAGTAGGAAGACTAAGTATGGATATTATACACCCATGCTTATCCTCAGGCAGTAAGCACATTTTAAACGAAAATGTGCTAACAGTCATTTTTGTTTGTTCCGGGCTGAAAGTTAGGAATGAAGAGAGGAATCCCAGGAATTTGCTCTGGGACATTACAATCTGAGGTACCTGTTGGGCGTTCAGTTTTATACCACAAGAGTCAGAATATTGATCTAGGTATAGGTTCAGAAATCATCTACGAGGTGGTAACTGAAGTTGTTAACTAAAGATAAGCATGTATTTTCTGTGGTCCGAACATACACAAAAAACGAAAACCCAGAAATCACTCCCTTATTCATAATTACTCCATTTACATTTTAGCACAAAAAGATGGAAGGATCCCCAACTTGGAAATATTCCTTCTTGTAGATTTGACTATCCAATCATACTGTTGAAAGATCAATGAAATTATTTTTAGGAGTAATTGATCTTAGTAACAATGATTAAGACATTGGCTTAACACGAAAACTTTTACATTGAAAAACCCTTATCTACAAAACCACATTCAGTTGCCACTCAAAATATCTTTAAAGCAAAGAAAACAAAACCCCACCCCAAAGTAAGGGGCCAAAAAACCCACTAATTTAAAGCTAAATCAAAACCTGGAACACTTTGTTGTAGGGGGAAAAGTTAGAAAAACAGAACTACAAATTAAAATAAATTAAGAAATTTATGTCTATTAATCAGAGATGTCCTCTAACAAGAAAATACAGAGGAAAACCATTCCGGATCTCTCTTTGGTCGGTGACTCTAGTCCGTTTTACCAAACTCCAGCTACCAAACTATAGACATTTGATAAGTAGCCTGCCAGCTGACAATCAATGATACTGTTCTCAATCTCATTCTAAATAGTCAGTGTTTGCCTCATCTTCAGATACACAAATACAACGCCTTAGCGTCTTTAAGCCAGAAGCTTCAGAAGCAGTATTATGCTTACAAGCTGTTCATTAGTTATCCTTAAATAACCGCCAGAGCTAGAATTATTCAAAGAAAATACAGTCTGGTTCATACTGGACTTGTTCAACTGTACTAGTACTGGACTTCCAAAGTTTATTACTAGACAGAAGATCCACTACAGGTGAGGCCAGGATGTTCTAACCTCCATTACTAACTGACATTAGGAAATAAAAATGCGCCCTTCAGGCACCCGATTTCTACTTGCTATAGTTTTCAAAATCTGCTGTCTCACACCAAGATGTGTCTACGACGTTCTGGGGAAAAGTAAACCTATTTTTAAAGTGTTGGTGGTTCAAGTTTCCCTATATTCAACTCTCAATTTGATACTGCCTGATACCTTCCTAAGAGCTTATAACCAGAGACCCTTTGCAAGATGCGTAGATCAGAAAAGAGCACACCTCTCTGCCGAATTCTCTTGCAAAAGAAAAAAGAAAAAAAAAAAGACAATGGCGAGCGCTCCAGAGTGACTGGTAAACCCTGCAGCCCCAGGCCTTCCTCCGCGCGCGAATAGGCAGGGCCGGCGCCTACTCCGCGGGCTGAAAGGCAAAGCCTGGCGCTCGCACACCCCAGCCCAGGATTGGCCGCCCGGCAGTCATTCAGCGCCGACACGTCAGGGCAGCCGCTCCCTCCCTCCTCCCGCCCCCACCTCTCCCCGCGCTTGGCAAGAAAAGCGGGCAACGTGGAGCGGGAACAAAGGACCCCGCGGCCCACGGGGTGCCACTCACTCCAGGCCGGGGACACCAAGGCAGCCCGGGGTCAGCTCTCCGCCCACACGCGCTAGTCCTGGGAGGTCTCACATTTGAGAATCCAGACCTGGGCAAACCCACACATTAGGCTTCTGTTCTGACAGCGAGAATGGAGATTCCCGCGTCCCGCTTCCGGCAGGTCATCCCTGCCTGACACAGGCCCCGAACAGGAACGTATGTTCCTCCCTCCCCGCCCCCTCTGCTCCCGCTTTCTCCGAAGCTGCCGGCACCCGCCAGAGGCCACCAACGACCCAGCAACCCTGGCGGCGCCCGAAGCAAAGGGCTCTCAAGGCTCTTGCCTCTCGCCCACAGAGTGTGGCGGAGGCGCGAGGGTTTCTCCCCCCAGGATCAGGACACCATTCCATCTCTCAGCTCGGATTCCGGCTGCTCCCTCTTTCTCCTCCCCCGTAGATGGGAAAAGGGATTATTACCTGGTTCATCTCTGAAGAGATGGAAAAACTCATCTCTGGAGCTTCGAAGGGGAGCAGCAGGAAGCGGGCGGGACCAGGCCCAACGGAAAGCGTCTCGAGGCCGCGGAGGGGGGAAGCGATCGAGCGGGAGGACACGCGGTCCGTCCACGGAGGTTGCGAGAAGGGGGTGCCGCCGAGTGTTCGCGGGGACTCGCTCACTCCCTCACTCGCTCACCGATGCTGCGCTGAAGCAGCAGGCGGAGAAACTGTGCCCGGCAGTCCCCAGTAACCGACCTCCACGCGCGTCCCAGAGACACTGCCGCAACCCCAGCCAGCTCGCGCCTTACCCCCTCGCACGTCACCACGTGCGCCGCCGCCAACGCCTCGCGGGCGCTTCCGGCACGGATCTGTCCACAAATCACAGGCCAGCACCAGAAAGGATGCAGACGGAGGCCCCGCCTACGCCCGCCCCGCCCCGCCCCACCCCGCCCCGCCCCGCCCCGCCTTTCTCCCTCGCTCGCTCTGGTTCCTTCCAGCACCACTCAAGTAGGTCAACGCAAGGTGATCCCTAGGAGAGACGCCGGGCTCTGGGTGCGCCTCCTTTTACTTCCCGCACCCTCTCGTCGCCCTTTCAGACCGTCCGGGAACTGGTTGCCTCCAGCCACCCTCACCTGTTCTGCCTCCCACAAGAGGCACAGCAGCCAGAGGGATCACATGGGGGAGATTCGATTTCTCCACGTCAAATTTACATCTAGACAACTGCCCTTGACTGGAGCTGGCTGTGTGTAGTTGCCCTTGGGCCCTTACCTTTGTTGGTGGGTGGTGGTGTGCAGGCAGGGGCATGGAGACTGCGAGGAAGAAGAGGGTCAGGTCGAGAGAAGGGGTGCGAAAATTTAGTAACTTGGACAAACAACTATTGGAAAGGTCTGAGAAGGAAGGCATCATAAATGTGTGTTGCCGTAAAAACCTGTTTACTTCTACCTTTCGTCTCCCGGGGTTTCTATTTTGTCTGAGTGCAGCTCTCCTCCGGGAGACACTGAGTCAGTTCTTGACCCGTCTTGCCCTCTTTTGGAGACAGAAAATAGTCTTGAGAATCAGTAGTCCCTGTCTGAACCTTCCAGGGCCTTCTACACCAGGTGCTGAACTGAACAGTCCACCCCCGACCTTGCCCCTGGAGGCAAACCTGTTCAGTGAAGCCTGAGGTCTAGGCTCTGAAGGGCAAGCCGGAGAGTTTCCCGGCTTGGAAGTGAGGGGATTTAGTGAGGTAAACTTGTTTAGAGTTTGGCAACGGCCTCCAGGTTAATGTTTTGTTTAGCTTATCGTGGTCCCCGCAGAGAGCACTTAAGGGGTCTAGGCCTACCTACCCTTCTTCGCGTTTGATTACTCAGCTTAATTTTAGGCGTTTCTAGGAACACTTCGTCAATGCTTCCTACCATTCTTGATCGCTGACTTTTTAGTTTATGCCCACAGGAGCAGGGCAAGCACATGCTGGGGCCCTTCATCTGTAACAGAAGCTTTACAATGTTTTACTCTAAAATCTTGAGGCAAGAAGACTTGTTTCCTTTTTTTTTAATTCAATTTAGGGTGGAAACGGGAACAAGATGTCTATTAGAATGATTCTTATTCTTTTGTTTTAATGAATATATTTTTAATTGTTGTTCAAGTACAGTTTTCTGCCTTTTCCCCCCACCCCAGCCCAACCCCCCAGCCCTCCCCACCTCCCTTCCATTTCCACACACACACTCACCCCTCCCCGTTTTTGTCCATGTGTCCTTTATATTTGTTCCTGCAAACCCATCACCCTTTTCCCCTGAAATTCCCTCCTCTGTCCCCTCTGGTCACTGTCAGCCTTTTCTCAATTTCAGTGTCTTTGATTCTTATTTTTTCTTAAGGAGAAAAGACACATTTGCCACTGAACTTTTGTTTTTTAATAATGGACAGCAGAGCTCCCTTGCATTGCAAATGAAACTGCTAGAGTACATACATACCTTTTAGGTTCTTTTGGTACCATGAGCTTTGTACTGCCCTTGAGGAGATGAATTGCCCACTTTGGGTAAGCGTGTGACTGTGTGGCCTGCTGCTCCCAGGGTCCCATTGGCTGTATTCTAACTAGTGCCTTTCTGACCTGGAACAGCCAGCGCTTTTCTTAAAGCTACAGTGTGGTCAGTTAATGCATCTTTACCTAGTATGAAATATCACATATTGCGTTCTCTATGAACATTAACCTAATGTATGTATTCCATTTGTCTTCCAGGCAACTTCCAGATAGGTAAACCTATCTATCTAATGACTATATAATCGAAATGCAAACTTGAAAATGGAATATGGTAGGTGATTTCAACCTTATAAAGTAACAAATTATTTTAAGATATTTTGCTCTTAATGTTTAAATTAGACAAAATATATCTGGAGAGTGCTTAATAAAAATAAAAACTTTCCATTATTTTATATCAGGCACTACGAAAGATAAAGAAGTGCCAGTTTTTTAATTTTTTGCAATCTTTCCATTTTCACCTCTGATACTGCTTCGAATGTTATCCCAGCCTTAAACTCTGACTTGTATTTTATTCTTTATGTATTAATTTGCTAGGGCTATTGTAACAAAGTACCCAAAACTGGGAGGTTTACACAATAGAAATCTATTGTCTCACAGCTCTGGAGGCAAGAAGTATGAGGTCAAGGTGCCTGCAAGGCTGTGCTGTCCCTGTAGACACCCAGGAAAGTTCCACTCCAGACCTTTCTTCTCGCTTCTGATAGTTTTTTGCTTAGCCCCAAACTTTGCATGGATTTTCCCTGTGTGCCTCTGTCCAAATTTTCCCTTTTTATAAGGATACCAATCAATCATAATCGATCAGTGGCCCATCCTAACCCAGTATGACCTCATCTTCTAAATTTCCAAGTAAGGTCCCATTTTGAGGTCAGGACTTCATATGAATTTTGGAGGGGACATTCAACTCATAACACTTTAGTTCAGTGTTTCACAAGTTGGGGCCCTGACCACATTTATCACAATCACCCTGATGTTCTTTTTAGAAATGAAGGTTCTTAGCCTTCACTCTAGATAAGTGATTTTCAGAGGAGGGGAGTGCTTTTTGCCCCTGGAGGACATTTCACAATCTTTGGAAGCAAGGTGGTATTGGTGTCTAGGAGACGTTTAATGCTGCTGAACCTCCTACAATGCACAGGACCGTCTGCCCTGACAACAAAGGATTCCCTCTAAAGTGGCAGTAATGTCAAGACCAAGAGCCCCTGCTCTAAAACTGCCAAGTCAGAATCTCTAAGAAAGGGTCCTGGAATCTACATTTTGCCAAACATCCCAATATCTTGTACCCACACTAAAGTTCGAAAAGTACTGAATTCCCAGACAAGAAAAAGCTAAAGGAATTCATCACCACCAAATGTTAAATGGACTTCTTTAAGAAGAAAAAGAAAATGAAAAATATGAATAATAAAATGGCAATAACTACATACCTATCAAGAATTGCTTTAGATGTAAATGGATTAAATGTTCCAATAAGAAAATGGGGGGGGGGGCGGCAGGTGGCTGAATGGAGAAGAAAATGAGACTCATACACATGCCATCTAGCAGAGGCTCACTTCAGATGGGAGGACATACACAGATTGAAAGTGAAGGGATAGAAAAAGGAGTATCATACAAACAGAAATGAAAAAAAAAAAGCAGAGGTAGCAATTAATTATATCGGACAAAATAGACTTAAAGCAAAGCATAAGAGGCAAAGAAGGACATTTCAAATACAAGAGCCAAGATAATGGAAGCAACCTAAGTGTCCATCAACGGACGCTTGGGTAAAGAAGGTGTGGTATGTGTGACTATTACTTGCCATAAAGAATGAAATCTTAATGACCTAGAGGGTGTTATGCTAAGTGAAGTAAGTCAGACAGTGAAAGACAAATACCATATGATTTCACTTGTATGTGGAATTTAAAAAACAAGCAAAAAAGAACAATCAAAACAGACATAGACTCATAGAGAACAAGCTGATGGTTGCCAGATTGTTGAGGAGGAGGGCAGGTGAAAAATAGGCATGGAAGAATAAATACGAATTAGTAGTTACAAAATAGTCGCAGGGATATAAAGTACAGTATGTATGGCACCAGGTGGGTACTAGACTTATTAGGGGGATTACTCTGTAAGTTCTATAAATGTCTAACCAGTATGCTGTACACCTGAAACGAATATAATATTGAATGCCAACTGTAATTGAATTTTTTTTATTTTAGAAGCCTTTTCTAAGCATAGGAACATGCTTCATTTCATTCCACATTTTAGTCCCCTCTCTTATTTATTAATCACTCTAATTATGATGAGTTAACCTAATTAAATATTGCTGCTTAGCAATTTACCCAATTTACAAGTCTTACTGTAACATTAATATTAAGTTGGAAGCTTGTTTACACTTTAAAACTTCTTTTATGCCACATTACATTGTTTTTCATCAGATGTCTACGTTTTCTGGATGCCATTTGCCTAACGAGCACAGAGCCTTCCTGGGACTTGGCAGAGCCACGCTTTGCCTCCACCACTGCACCGGCCCCTCTTGTTTTCCGAGAGACTGACTGTCTGCTTCATGCACTGCTCTCATCCGTGCAGTAAGTGCTGCTGCTCTCTCCATTTCTTTCTCCTCTTTTCTATTGGCATTTGAACATATATTTGGGCTACATCAGTGTTGTCTTAAGAGCAGACACAAGAAAATGGTAGCATCAGAAAAAGCACAAGAACCCGGGGGGAAATCTCAAAAATTCATTAAAATAGCTCATTGCAAATGGTTAGGTGTTGTGAGGCATGACTTGATTGCCTCGCTGAAAAACTGTTTCCCTTTTAGGGAGAATCTTCCATTTTCCTGGTAAGACTTCAATATGGACCTTGCACCAGAATGGGAACACTATTCAGATATCAGTTGTTGTTTTTTTAATCCAGAGATTATAAAATCAGAATGCTTTTTATCCTGCATTTTTCTCACTGGCTCTTACATTAGCCAAGCTGACTGGTTTACTAATGACTTTTTGCTAGTTTTCTAAAGTCATCCCTGCTAAAGTTTTTGAGAACAACTCTCTTTCAGCAACCAAAATCCCTTAACAGTTTCTCTTTCAAAAATTTCTTAGGAGTTAAAACTTCTCAGTGATTCAAACATTCTTCCTGTGACATTATATGACCTTCAAGCTTGCTACTTCTTTGGACTGTGTGGCCAACAGCTCACTGTATAGTCAGCTCTTGAATTCTAATGAGCAACCTAAGCTTTCCAAAAGACTTCTTCAAAACTTAAAAAAAATACCAACTTCAGAACTCCTGGCCAAGATGGAGGTGTAGATACATACACTTTGCCTCCTCACACAATCAAAAGAAGGACAACAAATTTAAAAACAAAAATAACCAGAACTGCAGAAAATCGAACTGTATGGAAGTCTGACAACCAATGAGTTGAAGAAACATTTATCCAGACCAGTAGGAGGGGTGGAGACAGGCAGCCGGGCAGAGAGGACTCACAGCAAGGCGGGGGCTGGAGGACCAGGGTGGGCGAGGCGGCAGCTGGCAGACCAGGCGGTCCCACATTGTGTGTGGATAAAGCGGGAGGAACAACCAGGGAACAAGAAAAAATCACAACCCAGGGTTCCAGCCTCAAATGCAGCCTCAAAACCTCTGATTGAAAAAACCTGTGGGGGTTGAAGTGGCAGGAGAAACTCCCAGCCTCACAGGAGAGTTCATTGGAGAGACCCGTAGGGTCCTAGGATATGCATAAACACACCCACCTGGGAATCAGCATCATAAGGGCCTAATTTGCTTGTGAGTAGTGGGGTAAGTGACTGAAAGCCAGCTGAGAGCTGAGCAAGTGGCATTTTTTTCTCTCTCAGATCCCTCCCCCACATACAGTGCCACTAGGCAGCCACATGGGTTGCCCCACCCTGGCAAATACCTAAGACTCTGCCCCTTATCACGTAACAAGTATGCCGAGACAAAAAAATATGGCCCAAATGAAAAAACAGGTCAAAGCTCCAGAAAAAATACAACTAAGCAAGGAAGAGATAGCCAGCCTATCAGATGTAGAGTTCAAACACTGGTAATCAGGACGCTCACAGAAATGGTTGTGTATGGTCACAAAATAGTGGAAAAAGTGAAGTAAGTGCTGCTTTCACTTTGCATAGTGAAATAAAGAAAAGTGAAATAAAGAAAAATATACAGGGAACCAACAGTGACGAGAAGGAAACCAGGACTCAAATCAAGGATTTGGAGCAGAAGGAAGAAATAAACATTTAACCAGAACAGAATGAAAAAACAAGAATTCAGAAAATGAGGAGAGGCTTAGAAACCTCTGGGACAACTTTAAGTATTCCAACACCTGAATCAAAGGGGTGCCAGAAGGAGAAGAGGAAGAGAAACAAACTGAAAACTTATTTGAAAACATAATGAAGGAGAACTATCCTAATCTGGCAAAAGAAATAGACTTCCAGGAGGTCCAGGAAGCTCGGAGTCCCAAAGAAGTTGGACCCAAGAAGGAACGCACCAAGGCACATCATAATTACAGTACCCAAGATTAAAGAGAAGGAGAGAATCTTAAAAGCAGCAAAAGAAGACAGTTACCTACAAAGGAGTTCCCATAAGACTATCAGCTGATTTCTCAAAAGAAATCTTGTAGGCAAGAAGGGTCTGGAAAGAAGTATTCACAGTCATGAAAGGCAAGGACCTACATTCAAGATTATTCTATCCAGCAAAGCTATCATTTAGAATGGAAGGGCAGATAAAATGCTTTCCAGATAAGGTCAAGTTAAAGGAGTTCATCGCCACCAAGCCCCTATTATATGTTTGAAATGTTAAAGGGACTTATCCAAGAAAAAGAAGAAGATAAAAAATGTGAGCAGTAAAATGACAACAAACTCACAACTGTCAACAACTGAACCTAAAACAAAGCAAACAACTAGAACAGGAACAGATTCACAGAAACAGAGATCACATGGAGGGTAATCAGTGGGGAGGAGGAGGGAGGAGAATGGGGGAAAAGGCAGGGAATAAGAAGGATAAATTGTAGGTACAAAATAGACAGGGGGAGGTTAAGAATAGTATGGAGAATGGAGAAGACAAAGAACTTGTATGTATGACCCATGGACATGAACTAAGGTGGGGGGATGATGGAAGGAGGGTGGGTACAGGGAGGAGGGAAATAAAGGAGGGAAAAAATGGGACAACTGTAATAGCATAATCAATAAAATATGTTTTTAAAAAATGATCCTAAAAAAATCAACTTGATTGGTGAGAGTAACAAGACACGGAATAAGCAGACTTGATAGTAGGCTGTGTTTTCAATGTGAACATTGACAGCAAATGTGTAAACGAATGTGTGGCGACATGTAGCACAACGTATACAGTGTATCCCAGAAGGAGAACTTTTGTTGTGTGTGATATCCAGAACTTGATATCTGACGGATGAAAGTTACACAGTGTAGTTGCCTTGCAGTCGCCAGACAACTGTTGCTTGTGTAACCTGATCAGTTATCCTATGAACTCCAGACACTACTTCAAACAAAAACCAGAGAGGACTGAGCACTGCGGTTGTCATGTCAGTTCTGCCTTCTTCTCTAGTGTTTCCTACTGTCTGGGGGAGACAGGAGTGAAGTATGATGAGAACACGATGAAATTTACACGGTTCCAGAGAACCAGGCTTCCCAAAGGCCTGAACACACAAAGTCACAGAGCTGTTACCGAAGAGTTCCCACCCCCGAGAATAAGCCCTCCCAGCCACGCTTCTCCGAGATCGGTGCCCTCCGGAAAAGAGTTCCCAAGTGAAGTGTCTTCTTTTCATCTCCGGGGTCTTAGTAGAGAGGAAAATGTGACAGAAAAACGGTGCCGCGATGTGTCCTACCAATGCCCCTGTGGGTCAAACAAGCCCGAGACACCCTTCTCCCTCCTCAGCGCTTCTCTCTCTAGTATCTTCCCCTTGCCTGGCCTTCAAGACCCAATGAGCACCTTGCCACGACTAAGAAGTGGACTAACATAATGGAAAGAGTGCTAGAATTGGTGGCCTAGACTTACATCTAGGCTTGGTGACCTCACTATTTAAGGAAGGCTTCCTGTCTTCTTGAGGACTCTGTTTTCTAATCTTTAAAATGGAAACACAATACTTGCCTCATAGAATTATCTTACATACGGCATATGGTGGGTGATGAGTAAATGTTGAGCTATTTGAAGGCCTCCTCCAGTTTCTCCCGTGTGCATAACTTCTCTCCCATCTCCCTGGACCCTGGGCCATCTTTATAACACTCATGGGTTACTTAATCCACCACAAGGTACTTTTATACTTGCAGACTTAAGGGATGAGTGAGTTGACCACTAAAATTGAGAACAGACTGACAGTGACCAGAGGGGAGAGGGGAGGGAATTTCAGGGGAAGGGGGGAAGGGTTTGCAGGAACTAGTATAAAGGACACATGGACACTAACAAGGGGCGGGGGGTGTGTGGAGATGGGACGGAGATGGGGAGGGCTGGGATGCGGGTAAAGGGCAGAACACTGTACTCGAACTACAATTTCAGAAAAAGAATTAAATATAGAAATACATAAAAAAAAGAGAGAGAGATGAGTGATTTGAATCTTTGAGTACACAGCAGCAACCCAGGCTCTGAAGTGGGTTGTTCCCGCCCTCGGACATCTACAAGGGTTGGATGAATGACTGTCAAAAATGACCTGTGTCTCTCACGGCACTTTCCATCAAACTGAGGTTTCCCAGTAGTGCAGATCAGTGGTGGAGGAAGCTGGAGTGATAGAGGACCGGGAAGATAAGGAGGGAAGTTGTTACCCAGGCATATCACGTGCAGGGGAAGTAAAGGCTCCTCGGACGACTTAAAACAGCATTTGGATTTCCTTGCAAATCCCCTTCTGTCTCCAAGCGGTCTCAGAGGCCTAGAAGAGGGTGTAGGATTCTCAACTCCACCCTCTCTTCATTTAGGTTCCTGGTGATTCAGGTCCAAGGAATGTTCTATCCGATTATTGAGGAAAGGCTGGAAACCTACAGAGTTACAGAGAGCGAGAGGGTAAACTGTTTTGCTCTGTGTTTGCTTCTATGAGGATGAAGGCCACGGTTCACTGTGAGTCTAACCGTGTTAGTGTTAGACTAACCTGAATCATGGTCAGCCTTTTACCTGAATTACGGAGGGGATCAAGGTTCTTTCCTGTGTATGTCTGCTGGGCCCTAGCAATCTCATCCCTCATGTTCCTCTTCAGGCACACCGAACCTCTCCCTTCCTTAATACACCTACCCTTTGGACGTTGCTGTTTCACACTGACTGGAGCACCCTTCAGCTGATTAATTTCTGCTCATTCTCCAGGCCTCAGTGTAGAGCTCACTTCCTCCAGGTAGCCTTCCCTGACCAGCCAAGACTGGGCGGGCTGTGTGCCTCCTATGAACCCGCACAGCACCTTGGGACAGCTCCCCCTCTTATAACATCAGTCACACAGTATATTGGGAGTACTGCTTGCCTGCACCCCCTCTGTACGTTACACTCGAGGAGGGAGCAAACCATGCAGATAGCTGGGGAAAGAGGGTTTGAAGCAGAAAGAACAGGAAACCCCAAGGCCTTTGGTGTTTGGGGTGGAAAGGAGGCCAATGGGACTGGAGAGAGTAAGCAAGGGGGAACATGGCAGGAATAAAGCCTGGAGATTAGAGTGGAGGTGCATTTACTGTGGTAGGTGGAAAGTAAAGAAAGAGAGAAAAAGATCATGCGCCCTCCCTGACCGCTGGGGCTGCCTGAGTCTTGGGTCAGGCCCGGGCTGGGGAGCTGGGGAGGCCCAGGGAAACTTTGAATTAGATATGTCCCTTAGGTTCTGAAATCCTAAAAAAAAAAATTAAATTTTGGAATTACTTTTTCATAATGTTTATCCATTCCAGGTGAGCAATCTTATAGTTCTTAAGCAAGTCTGCCAATATTTAATGAAAAGCGATGATGGCTTTTCAAAGTCCTTAATTTAAGGGTAATCAGATAAGATGTGAACATCTATAGCAGCTTTAAACGGAAACTAACAACCTAAGGGCCAACTTAGATCATTTGGGAATCACAGGTCTACTCCTGTCAAAAAAATTAAGAGGAAATAGAGGATAGATAAGCTGTTCCCATTTTCCCGCCTGAAGATACATCCTGGCACAAGACAAAACTCATAATGGGAGTTATAATGCGCAGGTGTCATTCAAACAAAGTGACATGGAAGTTTGGAGTCATGAAAAGAATGTTACC